ATTATTACTTTCTAGTAAATTCTGTTGAGTAACTTGATAGAAGAACAAAAGTCAAAATTTTCTAGCGCACGAGGCTATTACTAAAAAGGTTATACAACAATTGGATGTAGCCAAAATAGTTCTTGGCTACAGAACAGAATTCTGTAGAATGAATGCCAGGTAGATCGAGACTAAGCGCACTGCAAGTTATGACCAAAACATGAGGATTTTTCTCGAGAGTGATGACCTGCACTCCTTTGTATTCACTGGGCATATTAGTCCCGTTATCATAGCCCTGACCCATACAGTTCTTTAAATCAATTCGGTTTTGATCCAAAACGTCTATAATCAGCTTCGCATTGTCAGAACCCTTTTTTTCTCCAGATTTTTTACCGTCAGAAAAGACTATCCATTGGTTGTCAGATCCTAGGCGGACAAGTCGAAGAACAAAAATGATTTGGGATTTTGAGGTGGTCCATTTAGTATGACTAGATCGCGTTCGACTTTGGGTAAAAACCTCTTCCACAAAGCGGGGTCGTTTCTAACTGCTTAATCACCCTCTTGAATCGCTTCTTGATCCTAAATTAAAAAAAGCATTTGAGAATTACGGTATGTTTTCAATATCTGCAGATATTAAATGATATGTATTTAGAATCTACCTATATTAAATGATATGCAGGTTTTTCATAAAATAAGGTGTGTCCCAAACTTACCCGATTATTATCTTCTTCGTCAGAGACCGTTGAAAAAATGAAGGGGAAGAAGTCAATCTTTTATTCAAGGGTTCATCAAGCTATTAACCTATACCTTGACTACTTGGTCGGATGTAAAGTCATTAGTCATCATGCCTTTTTTTTTAACTTTATCGAAGCCACGCTCTTCCGGTTTGTTCTTGTATTCTTTTACAACTTTTTATACAGCTTTTTTTCTGCTTTGGGACCCCGAACTATGTTTTTGAAAACTGGACATGACGTTGGTTTTATTGGTTTCTTTAATGATGCAATGTTTTATTTCCGTTAAATAGTTCATTTAACGTTATATTTTAAGGACTTTTAAAAAATTAATTAAAAATAAATAAAAGGAAATAAAGTGAAACTAGAGCAATACAATATAAAACTATTAAAATTCTATCAAATAGGCAGTCTATCAAATAATTAAATTAAACTTTTTTAAATTTATTTATTTGATAGACTGCCTGCCCAAACCAAACTAAAAGCCCAAAAAAACTAAAAGACTCACTAGCGGTAGTAAATTGGTCAAAAATATATCATGAATGTAACCTCGGACACACAAATTCCGCTTACAATAATTTTATAAATATTTTCCTAAATCTCTACAATAAACATTTTCCAAAGGTCGAAAAAGAAATTAAAGCAAAATACCTAACCACTCCATGGATTACCCAAGGAATAAGAAAATCGTCAAAACAAAAACAAAAACTCTACATAAAATATCTAAAAAATAGAAACCATTTTAATTTGTCTAAGTATAAACAATATAAAAATCTATTTGAAAAAATAAAATTAAAATCCAAAAAACTATATTTTTCAAAGCAAATACAAAAATTTAAAGGAGATAATAAAAAAATCTGGGATATTATAAAAGAAATAATTGGTAAAGATAAAAAAAACTCGAACCAACTACCTCCAAAAGTTCTCATAAGTGAAAAAGAGTTTAATAATAAAAAAATTATCTCTGAAAAATTTAACAAATACTTTGCAAGTATAGGTTCCAAACTCGCCTCTAAAATTCAACCTACAAACAATTCATTTGAGAATTACATCGAGGACTCTCGTTGCTCCCTAGTTTTTAAAGAACTAGAATACGAAGAACTTGAAACAGCAATTAAAACATTAAAAATTAACAAAGGTCCAGGTATCGACAATATCCCAGCCAATATTATTTTGAATGTCTTCCCAGAAATAAGTAAACCCATTTTTCAAATATTTAACTCTTCAATAATTACAGGAATTGTACCCGACTATTTAAAAATAGCTAAAATTATTCCTATCTATAAATCCGGAGATACATCTTTCTTAAATAATTACAGACCAATATCAATCCTTCCCGTATTCTCAAAACTGCTCGAACGAATAATCTACAATCGTTTATATAAATACCTAACCACAAACAAAATCCTGAATGAAAACCAATATGGTTTTCAAACTCAGCACTCGACAGAGCATGCTATCGTAGACCTCGTCAATAGAATTAGTGAATCAATCTATGAAAAGAAGTTCGTATTAGGAGTCTTTGTAGACTTGTCAAAAGCGTTCGACACAATAAATCATGAAATCCTACTAAAAAAGTTGGAAAAATACGGATTAAAAAACCATACACTGCAGTGGTTTAAAAGTTACCTGTATAACAGACAACAATGTGTTATTACAGATGATAATTACCACAGTAAATTATTAAAATTAACTTGTGGTGTTCCTCAAGGTTCGATTCTTGCTCCTCTTTTGTTCCTAATCTATATAAACGACCTTCCAAAAGTTTCTAGCAAACTTGAATTTATAATGTTTGCAGACGATACAAATTTATTTTACTCTTCGACAAACATCAAGGATCTGTATGATAATGTAAACATAGAACTCCAAAAATTAAATATATGGTTTAAAACAAATAAGTTATCGCTAAACATAGAAAAAACAAAATACACTTTATTTCACTCAAACCAACAAAGAAACACACTACCAAATATTCTACCCTCTCTAAAAATAGAAAATATAGTAATTGAGAGAACTCACGAAACTAAATTTTTAGGAGTTATAATTGATGAAAATTTATCTTGGAAAAGTCACATAAATGCTTTAAACACTAAAATATCAAAAAACATAGGTCTACTTTATAAAGCAAAACCTATGCTGTCGCAAAGTAATTTAAAACTTATATATTTCTCTTTTATACACAGCTACCTCATATATGCGAATATAGCTTGGGCGAGTACGCATATAACCAAATTGAAAACTTTATATCGACGTCAGAAACATGCTGTTAGACTTATCTACCATAAAGACAAATTTACACACGCTGAACCCTTATTTAAAGAAATGAATGTGCTTAATATTTATCAAATTAATATTTACCAAAATATACTGTTTATGCTAAAATTTAAATTAGGTCAAGTACCAAACCATTTTTTAAATAACTTTTTTATAAATAACGTTAATAAATATAACACAAGAGAAAAAGGAAACTTTATTACACCTTTCAAAAAAACAAAACTTTCCCAGTTCTCAATTTCATATCGGGGTCCTTATTTATACAACAAACTAGTAACTAAAAATAAATCAATCTGCAATCTAGATTCAATTTGCAATCAAAATTTCTTGAAAAAAAAGTTAAAAAATCTGATACTGAATCTAAACAGATACTCAGAATTCTTTTAAGACTATAAATTAAAATACATATATATCAACTACAAAGTGAACTGACTCGTTTATGTGTATTATCTAAATGAATCTTTTTTTTTTTTCTTCTCAAATTTCTCAAACAATATATCAAAATGTGTTTATTACACACAAAAAAAACACTTGATTTTTTCTTATCAAGTTTAGTTATTATGCTGCTAGTTATGTCTAATATTTTATACTGAGCTTATTTTGAGTTTATTTTTTATTATGAGCTAAATTTAAAGAATATATAAACATAGTTGTACTTAATATATAATTATATTTATATATTTTATATATATTTATATTTATATATATATTTAACATAATCATAATAATATATCAAACACATTGTAAGGGCTTCGTGATAAGATCATTACGATCTTCTTGAAGTCCGGCCTGTACTATTTAATTATAAATTTCACTATATATATTTTGACTCACGAGACTTGTAAATATTAATTTACGAAACTTGTAAATGTTATATGTACGGCAAATATATGAATAAAAAAAAAAATAAAAAAAAAAAACCCTCAGTCGATTTAGCAGCACTCCGTTGCGAGTCAGGCTACAAGATAGTTGATGTAGCAACATTCTGCGCATGTTTTACAGTTAAAAAATAAAGTTTTTATTTTAAATAAAGCTTTAAAATAGATAATTAAGAATAGTAGAGTTTTTTTGTTTTTATTTTTATCATAACAATAATGGTCTTTAAAATATGTTTTGGTTCGCAAAAAAGTTCGCATTTTACCGATAACCTTGAAAAGTGTTGGAATAAGCATAACTTAACTGATTTAAGTAACATAACATTCACGTTTTAAAACAAGGCTTTTGTTCGGATAAGTGTTATGTAATTCGAATTTTAAGTACATTCAAATTGAAGCCATTGCAATCAGTCCTTCCACGCAGAAAAAATAGAAATTGTGAAATTTACATTTAAATTAACCTAAATTTCAATTTTCATTTCATGTTATAAAATTCTCAAAATCTTATAAAATATCTTACAGAAAAAAAAAAAATCTTATATTTTGTCTTAAATTTTTTGCTTAAAGTTATAATCCCCAGATCAAATATTCTTTTTTTTTTAAAAAAAAAATCTCCTTAAAACCACAATCGCTTGTCCAAATTTTAATAAGATTTTAAATAAATACCTCTTTAGGTGAAATGAACATCATAGTTTAATAATATGATCTGTTCTGATCGTTTATTGGCAATTTTCCATAATTATAAGCTCTTTTTTGGTCAAAATTTTAGAATTTTTTGTGAAAATTGTTAGAAATATAGTATTTTTACAACTATATATAAAGTTAATTTAATGTAAATTAGGGTCATATGAGTACCTAAAGCAAAAAATTGAATATTTTAAAAAATAATTATGCTTGATCTAAAATTTTTGCGAATAAACTATTTATGGTCCACTTAGATATTTGGGCACCCGAAATTTTTTCTTAAAAACACAGAGATTTTAAAAAAGTAGCAAAAGTGCTCATATTTTTCAGGCCACTTGGTAATATGAGCATTTTAATTTAGCTCAAAAAAATTACATTAATTAAGTAAAAAAATATCAACCTGACAATTAGAACTAATATTTGGAATAAAATGATTCGTTATTAACAAAACTTATCATTAAAATATCTAATTTTTAGCCACTTTGTGTTGAAACAATACTACATATAATTTTCCATTTCAAAGTTTTACATGGCATTTCCGTTGTGCGTATCAACTTATTTTTAATTTAACTGATGAATTTCTTTAATGGGCTTCACAATAGATGATTTCTGAGAAGATTCGTTATTATGTACAGAATCGTCACTTGAAAAGTCAGATTCTTCAGAAAAATCTTATGAACTATTTCCATTTAGCTCATTGATTATCTTGAGATTCTGGTATACATAAAATGACATCGAAATGAGACCATTTGGATTTGAATCGCATACCTCCATTACATAATCATCTAAAGCAAACCAAAATTTGTAAGTCAACATAAGTTTTTTTGTACATCTCCTTATAGTATGAATAATTTATGTTGAAAAAATACATTGCTGCATTGTATTGCATATATATATTTCTTACTTCTTATGTGCTTTTGTAAAGTTATGTATTGATTAAAAACAGTCAAGTGGAAATGATAAAAAGTATATAAAATTTTAGACTAAAGTTCTTTAGTCCGCTGACTAGTGAAATATACTATTTGCTATTCGTTTCACTATTCATTAAAATCCAGTTTAAAGAAATGTAAAATTGTTTCAAACAACTTTCCTATGTTTTATTAAGCTGGTTTTTGTTGACAAGTTTAAGTATCTAGCCACACATTAAAATAAAATAATTACAATTAAAAAAAAAAAAATTATCAGTTTGAAAAAAAAATTTTATTGCTATTCGTTAAACAAAATTGTAAAACACACCTAGCTATAAAAAAGAAATAACTCCATTCTTATATGACGCTAAAATTTAATAAAAATGCAATTTTCTAAGGAAAAGCGCTATTCAGCTATTATAGAGATAAAACGCGCGCGTTTCGTATTGTAATATAACAGAGAAGCCAGCTTATAAAAAAATATTCGATTGTGAATTTTTGGTTTGAATCAAATTTTTTATTTACCCAATCAAATTATAAAAAAAAATTGCTCGCACCATAAATAGGAATCGTAAAAAATTTTGTGGTTTTCAAAATGTTAGCATGTAAACTATAAATTTATTAAAAAGTAAATAAACAAAGTAATTAGAAATACATTTGTAATACGGAAATTATATTTTTATTGCGCACTCTGGTTAAACCGTGTTGCATTCTGGTTATTTTTTTACAACCATCAATAAAATTTTCATCCTAGTAAAGTCTTTAGAAATTTCTCCCAGCGACACCAGTCTCAAGTGAGTTAGAGAATAATTTAACAAAACAAGTTTTTTAAATAATGTTTTTGAAATTATTACGTTTGTTGCATTACTTTAGATAATTAAAATGGGTGACGCAGGTAAACTCTACATTGGTCAACTTGACTACAATGCTGATGAGAGAGATCTTGAAGATTTATTTGGAAAGTACGGAACTGTAGTTAAAGGTACTATTTGCATATTATTCGTATTATTATTATTAAAGGTATTATTTGCATGCTATTTTGTTTATGTCCAGAATGTAATTAAAATTTCTATTATTGTTATTTTTTAAAATGTATAGTTAAAAGTTTAAAGTCTCTTTACTTTTTTAATAATAACTTTTTCAATAAATATTTTTTGTATGTTAATGTTGATTAATTAAATTTAAACCCTTTTGCCCTTTCAGTGTCTATTATTAAAGACCGTGAAACACAGAGACCTAGAGGATTCGCTTTCGTTGAGTTCGACAGTGAAGAAGATGCTGAAGCTGCAATAGACGGATGTAACGGACAGGTTAGTAACATCAATCAAGTTTAAAATCTTTCATTATAATGACTTATTGTAATCAAAGCTATTTTCGTGTTAAAGTATTTTTATAAGATTATTCTAAACAAATAAGTTACTGCGGTTGGGGACATAATTTATGTTCTATCTATGCTTTATAAATAATAGGATTTAAATTATAGGACGTTAACGGAAGACAAATAACTGTTGCAAGAGCTAAAGCTCGAAGTGGTGGTGGTGGAGGTGGCGGTTACAGCAGCGGTGGTAGTGGAGGCGGTGGTTATCGTGGAAGTAGAGGTGGTCGTGGTGGTGGTGGTGGTGGTGACAGATACGGTGGTGGTCGTTCAAGTTATGGAGGTAGTGGTGGTCGTGGTGGAAGCCGAGGTGGTCGTGGTGGATACAGCAGTGGCGGTAGCAGTGGAGGAAGCTATGGAGGTGGTCGAGGTGGTGGTAGATATTAAAGTAAGTTTAATACTATTTTAACCTAATAATAATACTTGTGTAATGCATTATGTAGGTATTTTAAATACTTATTAATAAACTATTTCAAAAGCTTTTTCATACCTCAAAAATGTTATAACCAGGGTTGCCACAAGAACTTAATATGCAGTACATTTCTGATCCATGTCTTTTGAAAACCATACCAAAGGTCTTAATCTGTAACAAATAATCAGCTTTATTAACATCAATTGTCTACTTAATTTTAAAATTCGAATAGTTAAATTAAATCAGTTTCTAAAATTTACCAAGTTAAAAGTCCCTGATGTGCTGCTGCATCATTGGTATATATTTTGTATGTCACTGATAAATCAAACAATACTATGAGTTAATAGAATGTAACAACAAATTAATATTAGCATTAATGTTTATTATACTATAGGAGAATTATTACTATAAAAGAATATAAATCATTATACTATAGGAGAATTATAATTATAATAGAATATAAAGTTACTTGATTTGTCACATTGTTAAAACGTGATAAAACAAAGGTAAAAGCAAGTTATGAGCAAGTTAATTTTACCAACTTTAACACTGTGATGTTATATGACCGTGTTCAATTTGTTTTATTCCAGTAATACTACCACTAAAATATATCATTGTTTTTGTATAGCTATACTAAGCTTTTCAATATAACAATTTAAAAGCAAACATTTTACCATTATTTGGGAACCAATATTATTTTATCAATATTGTGGGAATGTTGTAGCACTTGCATGCTAATATTTAATCAATTACCTACCAACTAAAGATTTATTTATATAATAAAACATTAGTGGCAACCCTGTTCAACTCAAGAGTGTTTATATTTTTAAAAGTTTCGATTTAAAAAAAAGTTGATGGAGATAGATGCTGAAAAATGCTGCTTATTCCAATAACTAGTGTTTGTATCTATAAAATTAATGGGCTATTGATCTAGTAAACTACTTCTGCATTATTAAGTTTATATTGCTATTTTCAGTTTAACAACCTGTACTTGAGTTATTTAACAAAACTTGATTTTTTATTCATATCAGAGATCTACTGAAAACTCGATTATCTTGAAATTGACCAGATCACACTGTATATAGAAACGATAACTGCGAATATGTTCCTCCGTCTACTTAATAACTTATCAGAAGTCCGTTGAATTGTACGATACTCAATGAATTAAAGAATGATAGAGTTTATTAGGTTAAACTTGAAATGAAAAGACAATGGTTTATTTATAACTGATTCATTTTTTATCAATATGTAATAGTAAACCAAATGGTCGTATTTAATGAGTCAAATATATAAGGATAAATCGACCTAACAGTCTTAGTAAAGTTTTTCATTTTTTTAAAAAGTGCAAATTAAGTAGCGAAAAATGGCTAAAAATTTGAATAATCTTGAAACTTGTTATGCTTTTTACATTCTGCGATTTCGAATGCTTTTTTTGCTTAGTTAAATTATGCATGCTTTGTGCATGTTAATCTTTTAGCAATATTAGTTTTAAATTAGAATATAGTAAGTAGCATTTAAAACCAGGTAAAAACAAGATGCATGTTAAATGGTTCTGAATGCTGATATGGAATTTCAATTCGGTATGTATGTCAAATTCATAACATTCAGGCATGCTGTATTTCTGTATATTATGTATAAGTTATATGATTAGGTTATTTAAATCAAGTTACATTGTAATGTAACTTGAAAATGCTTTAATATAGCTCATTTGCAAATTCAGAATTATCATGATATTTGTTAATTTAGTGGTTTTCAGTCATTGGTTCAAGTGGTTATACTGTCTAGTGTGAAATTGTCATGGAATAAGTTTATCAATAGGTCACGATATTAATGAATAATAACAGGTAATAGTTCATCTCTTTAAATGTTATTGTTTTACTAAATTTATGTGTATAACAAATTCCGAAAGTTTATAGTATATTTATATAAATTTTATTTATAAATAAACAATTGTTTACTTATATATAGTTAATATATAAATTACATTTGTTGCAGTTGATTGACTATAATATAATATATATACTATAATATATATAGTAGTATATATAATAAATATATGCTATAATATATATAATATATATATATTACTGTAATATATATAGACTAATAAATTACATTTTTTGCAGTTGACAGTTTATTGAAGTTCTTGTTCAAGTCCTTCTAATGATTGGTTAGTTATTCTAATTAACGGTGAGTATTTTTAAATTCAATTTTGTTCTAAAAATGTTTTTTTTAATATTTATTACATAAATATATAATTCTATAATTTTTTTAGGAATGTATAAAAATTCGTCTGAAAATTATGAGCTGTAATAGAGTTTTCTAGCAAGAAAAAAAGAAGAAATCTCTTAAACTTAAAATTTTTTTTAAAATAAATTTTTCTTTTAAATACATTAATTTGTTTCTAGTCTATGTTACAATGCCAACGCGCTGCCGAAGAAGGCAAATAGTTAAATCATGTTTGAATAACTGCTGCGATTTCGGCGCACTCCCACTCCCGCTAGAACAACACGTTTGAGTTGGAGGTATCTCTAACGAGTTTTGCGCTAATTTAATCTTGTTTTTATCTGTTGCAATAAACCTAATTAAATTTACATTTAATTGATTTGTCAGTTAAACAAAGACCTTAGTTAAAATATAATATTTTATCAATTCGACTACAAATTTTATCGACAGAGAATGACTTTTTAGGACCTTGCGTTACTTTTTCTTTAAGGTAATTCCGTGTCAAAACAACAAATTCAAAAAAGTAACCCACTATCTCTAAATGACTTAATTTTTGCAACAAAGATACTTAACCCTTTACCACTCACTATATTTTAGGATTGAGTAAAAAATTATTTTTTTGGCACAAGTTCATTATTCATGATACTGATTTCAAATCGAAAAAGTTTTTTGTGCTGACATCAACAGTTTTATAAATACTGATGGTTACTCTAAACATTTACGGAATAAAAGTAACTAATACAAATAAACTTCCTTCAAATAAAACTACAGTTTTGAGACAATTTTCAAAAAAAAAAAGTTGTTTATAAATATTCTAAATGTCACCTCTTAGTAGCATACCAGTTTTAAGTGTTAGACAGGTATACTGCCTTCCCCCTCTAACCGCACCAGATTTTATTCTACAATTTAGCATGACACTTCATTTATTATGAAAATTATAAAAACAATTTTTTGTGTTGCTTAACGCAATCATAAGTTGCATTTTTTGCAGTCAACTCTCCCTGTGCCACCTTTACATAAGCAACAATTATTCTTATTGCTTCGAAATTCTGGCCAATGACTAGTACTATCAAACCGAGCATCGTCGGCTGGTAAATGCACTGGACGTTTTCTTCGCTCAATTGGCAATTCGACATTAGATTTCCTTTTAGATGTTCGACCAAGTTTTTTGTATTAATTTTTGTTTTAACAAGAACAGATGCTATAGAAACTGTAAACTGTAATAGACTAAGTTGACACATTGATGATATATGACCTATTATTCATTTTAGCTATGTTTATATATTAAACATTATACAAGCATATCAATGTTTATATATTAAACATTATACAAGCATATCAAATAAACACAAATATTTTGAGTGCATTTTTTCTTTTTTTAAGTAATAAAACAAAAAAATATTACCAATATTGTCTTATTTCACTTGCAGTAATTATTATTAAAAAAGTAAACATGTTTAATTATATACACTAATTGTTCGGAGTAACCATATGGTTACCACCTACTTTAGACAAATTTATTTCCTTATATATTTAACTAAAACATTCCCAAATATTTTATCCTTAAACATGTACATCTTGGTAATAAAAATACAAAAAAAATTAGTGAGGAAACATTTATAAAATGTGATAAAATGTGTTACAATAAGAGTTACTTTTTAACTAATCAAAATCAACTTTTTATTTTCAATTGTACATAACTTTAAATATGCGGAAATGATAATATGGCTCCTTTATTTAGTTTTTAAAAGATAATATTTTAGGGAATAAAACAAACTAGACTAAAAAGGAAGCAAGAAAATGTCTTTAAGATTCAAGGCCATGTTGGTGCATAAATTAAAATTCCATGTCAACTTTGCACATCACTTTGCATCTCTCAATTTTTAAACTTGTCGGTCAAGATAGGGATAGTGTCATCACTGCAGTATTTCATCTTAACTTCATTATGACATACAGGAATAAATTCATGAAAGTCTCAAGTTCCTGGTATTGTTTTTACATTTTTAAATCGCTCAGATTGTAATAATCTTGTTTCTATCAAACTTTCACTTGAAATAAAAATAAAGTTTATACCTTTGATGTTGTTAGTGCAATATGTAAACATATCACGTGAGTTTAATATTTGATTTGTAGAAATTCTCTGCAAACTAGCATTAGCTACAAGCCATTTAACTGTTCCTCCTATACAATCACAAGGTTGCTTTCCATGGCTGATTGCAAAGAAAACCCATTGTGCATCTATTCCAAAGTCTGATTTATGCTGACATAGGTTAAATATATTTTTGCAGTTTTTATATTGAGATGAACAGCCATCAGAAAAGTAGACCACGTTTACAATGCTGGGTATTTTTTGCTTCAGATTATTGATAATTGATTTTTGTACCTCGTAAACCAATGGTACATCATGAGTGTTATCATCTGATATAATGCAATATGAAGTGGAATGCAACACTTGATTTTCTTTATAGTACACAACCACTGGATGAAGTGTGCATTGAAGATTATTCCAATGGAAACCTTGTACTTCATCCTGCACAACAAAACTATAGTTTTCTGCAAAATCTCCTAGAATTATTGCGCTACCTGATGGCAGTTCTTCTTTAAGATTTTTTAAATATTTGGATTGGCATTTAGAAATATATGAATGCGTTGTTAGCTTGACTAGTTTTTCCATCACCATATTTACATAATCTGGTATGGTTACAAGCTGTATAACTAAATCTGATCTATCAGTAGTAACCCATTGGTTAAATTCGATAGTATCTTCTTCCTCAAACTGCCCTATTAGTTTGAATAGCTTTTCTTCTAATTTAGATGTATTTTTCGGATATTGTATACATCGATGTAACATGCATTCTTTGTTTTGCATATCACAAAGAATAAATTTATATAGTTCGTGGTAATCAATTTTAATGGGTAGGAGAATTAACTTCATGTTTTGATGGTAGATACAAATGCACACAGAATGGGTTCCTGATGAGTTTGGCAAAACACACCATTTAGGTCTTAAAACACAAAACTTGAAAAAACCTAACTTTACATGTGGATATAGAATTTTAAATGAGACAAATAACTCTATTAAGCTTAACAAAAGTAGTCGCTTTTGCATATGACTTTCCAACTAACACTTACAAAATCCTTTTGACCAGGCATCTGGCGAGAGTTTTCATCATTTTCATAAAAAATTTTCACTAAAGTATTTAATTGATCATGGAGCATTTTACCTCGCTTAGTTTGTGGAACTGCATGAACTCCTTCCTTCTTTGCTAAAGATCTAGATTTTATTATTAGATAATTTGAAACACTAAAATACTCACTAGCTGCTTTAATTGACTATTCTTGTGGGCACAAAATCAATACTTGAATTTTGTCCCTAAATGAACTGCATTTTTCAAGTTTATCTTTGATCAAAACTAACATTTTTTCGAACTGAACAACTTTTTTTTTTAAATCAAGAACATATTCATTATCAAAAACTTCAACTTCTGTCAATGGAATTTTTAAAGAACTTGATAACTTTTCTTTGAAAACTTTTGCAATAGTTTTAATTTTTTTTTTCCCAATACTCATACGATTTGCAAATGGCTTTCCGTGAAGCTTGACTGGTGACACACCAATTATACTGAGACAATCAGAAAGTTCTTGTCTGTTTTTATTTAAATCAGCTTTTTGTTGAACACTAAATATGTTTTCTTTATTTATACTTTCATTTGTGTAATCATCAGCAATATTAATGTTATCAGTATTAATTTCAGTGGAAGCTTTTAATCTGACTAAGCAATTTGTGCAAATTTTTTGACCAGGTACAATATTGATCCTGTTGTTTAAAGCTATGGTTCTTAACGTGACTTCTCTGAGAGATGCTAAATTAAAAAATATAACTTAATAAAGTAAAATGTGCCTACTATTAACAAAAATAAAGAACTTAAAATTATGACAAATTTACTATTATAAAATTTATGACAAGCTTTACCAACCTTTGCACGGTCTTTTGTGAACTAACAGTGGATCACAGCATTTATTCTGAAACACAGGGAACTTCTCAAGATAGAACTTTTGATGATGAAAACATAAGTCAATAATCAAAACAGAAGAAACACCAGACCTTAGTGCAACTAAATTTTGCTCATCTGGAGCTAAATCTTGAAAAAAGTTTATTCCAATGTGGTTTGTAAATGTTAACTTGTGACAATTTGATTTTAAAATCAATCCAACTGAGCATTGTGATGTTCCATCCATTATAAAAATATTTAATTTTATTATTTTATTTTTCTAAAACTATTATTAAATAAATAATAAATTCTCGCATGAGTATTATAATCAAAATTCAAATGTTAGAATCAATTGCTCCATTTAATTAATACAAGAAGAAAGCAGAAATTCATTTTTATTTTAAACTAAATAAGTGTAATCATATGATTAGACTTATTTAGTTTAAAATAGAAATGAATTTTTGGGTTTCTTGTTTAATTAATTAAACGGAGCAACTGGTTCTAACATTTAAGTATAACACTTATGCGAGAAACCATTATTTTTTTTGTGAGAAATTATTTTAGTTATAATCTTTAAATGGAGATTATAACCAAAACGGTAAATAAAAATGCAAAAATAAAATTGCAAAAATAAAACAATAATAAAATAGATATGTGCATCAAAAATCAATGAAATAATTTTTGCCTTTAACAGGCATTTATATATAAACTATTTTTGTAAAGATTTAAAGTGAATAGATCAATACCTTTTCTGCAATTAGTCTTAAACTAGACATGTTTACTAAAAAATTATTGTTAAAAACCCGGTTTGCATTGCAAAGTTTTTAATCAAATATAAGATCTAATAACTTTAAGTAATGATTTTTGATTTCTTTATTCAAAAGTTTCTATACCTATTAAATTTTGTAAACGAATGGTTAATGTAACTGTGTATACTTTAACATTTTAGTGTTGCTATAGACGTTGCTAAGAGAGCGGAGAATAAAAAAATTTTAAAATTCTTAAACTTCAAAGACCCATAACTCTTAAAAAAATGAAATTGACTCCAAATTATTTATGATTATTACTAACAACATTATTAACTGCATTTGTGCCAAAAACCAAGTATTTCTGAGATGGTGGGTTATTTCGACTTGTTGTTTTGACATGGAATTACCCTTTAGGGGGCTCATTAATGAGGTGTATTCAACCCGGGATGAAAGTTCAGCTCGGTTCCGGGTTGAAAATTGTTTACTATTACATAGACGTTTTCATCCCGCTGCAACTTACAGTTTCCAAATTTCAACTCGGCCGGTTTGAAATTTTCTTATGTAAAATGTCTGAAAAAAATATTGTACAATTAGTGTTATTTATAATTCAACAGCGAAGTCTACTTACAGCACTTATATTGCAACTTAATGGTTTAGTAATTACATACAAACTATTAGAAAGCAAACGAAATATTGCCCTTGGTGCTTATTTATGCACACAAAAAAATAACTTACAACGTAAGAAGAAACTTGCTAGACAAAGACTTATGAACTGAAAATCTAGAAGTTTATGGGTGGAAAAGGAGAGAACTGATTTATGGTGGCAAAATATCATTGGACCAGATGTCCCTGAAACTTGCTGGAAAAGAAATTTCCGAATGACAAAGGAATGTTTTCTAGAGCTCGCTGCTATTATAGATACTGTTATAAGTCCTCAACCTAACTGTCCAAATTATCGTTTTTAACTACACACAAAAAAGTAGCAATAACCATTTAATGGTTATTGCTACTTTTTTGTGTGTACTTATAACAGTATCTATAATAGCAGCGAGCTCTAGAAAACATTCCTTTGTCATTCGGAAATTTCGAAATTTTTTGGAATTCGGAGAATTCGGAAAATTCGGAAGTTTTTGAAACAGTACATTGATGAATGCCGAAAACATTGGCTGTCATCCAAAGGGAACCAGTATCCTTTAAATAATAAATGATTTATTATTTAAAGGATACTGGTTCCCTTTGGATGACAGCCAATGTTTTCGGCATTCATCAATGTACTGTTTCAAAAACTGTAAAAGTTGTATGTGATGCCATAAATAATATCGTTGGTCCTATATATTTATATCTACCTAAAAATAAAGAGGATATGACAAAATTAGCTTCACAGTTTGAAGTAAAGTTCGGCATGATACAAGCCTTTGGATGCATTGATGGCACTCATGTCCAAATTAAACGTCCTATTAAAAACGGTCAAGACTACTTTTGTTATAAGCAATATTTTTCATTAAATCTACAAGCGGTATGCGATAGTAAAGGATATTTTATTGATGTTGAATGTAAATGGCCAGGATCTGTACATGATGCAAAGATGTTTACAAATTCCACTATCAATAAAAAATTAATAAAAGGCACACTACCTCAAACATAGTACAGTTTACCTAATCAATTCCTAACTATTTGATTGGAGACCCAGCCTATCCATTAAAAAACTTTTGCATTAAAGAGTTTCAAAGTTGTTCAAATAACGATGAAGTCATATTTAACAACATGTTACGCTTTGCTAGGAACCAGATTGAATGTGCTTTTGGCAGATTAAAAGCAAGGTGGGGATTTTTAAGAAAAATAATTGATATAAAAATAGAAACAGTTCCTATTGTTATTTATACTTGTTTTGTTCTTCATAACTTTTGTGAAAAAAACAAAACCTATGACCTAAATGAAGAGGAGGTTAATCAACAAATTGAAAGACATCGAAGTGATGGATTGAAAAGCCCAAACCTCCCTGACAGTATTTACTCTGCTAATAATCCTGAAGGTGAATATATACGCAAAACTATAACAAAATATATATCAGAAAATTTATTCAGGGACTAAAAATATAAAAAGCTTATATATAAAAAAACTAAGGAAAATGTGAAATCCTTTTTTGTGGTTAAATTATTGTATTTTGCTAAATTATTGTAATTGTTGCGTTTCATTACAAACTTGTTATAATTATTAGTAAGAAAATAATTTAAATTTAACAACAAAACAAATGAAGTTTTACAAGAAAAAAAATAATCATAAGCAATAAAAACAAGTCCATTATATTGCAATCATTAAAGTTACTATAAAATGTACTAATTTTATTATACACCTTAATTATTGTTGATTAGTTTTCATTCCCTGAATTAATAATTCCATTGATCTAGAAAGTCCCTGGGCAACCTGTAAAATAAATTCTGACATTCGCTCGATTGACGCTGAGAATGTTTCATTAGAATGTCTAATGGCTTCAGCGATATCTCTTTTAAATTGAGCATCTTCTTTTGCTTCATTTAACAAAACTTGATCTCTTTGTGATGCACTCAATTGTCTCTGCATGTGTCGTCGCTTATTGTCAATAAATTTTGGAACAATTTCATTATTGTCATTTTTACGTTTCTTTTTTTTAGTTGAGATATCACTATCAACAGATGAAGTTTCTGGACTCTGTAATAATAAAGAAAAATCAACTACACTATTGTCCTCAATACTGCATGAACTTGAACATAGATTTACATTATCTGTATTTTTAACTGTGGTGTCTTCAGTACTACATGTTAAATTTTCTACACTTTTGTTATTATCCATAATTTCCTTATTAACATTATACGTTGATTTTCCAAAAAATGATGGTTTTATAGATGGGGATCCACCATATTTGAACGAGATGATCATAAAATTCAAGTACTATTTTTCCACTTCCACTCCTTTGACCTGATGTTACAGCTAATGAAAAATTCTGACGAATTTCTTTGATTTTTTCTTGAACTCTAGTATAACCTCTTTTAATAAGAGTTATATCAATTTTATTTTGTTCGGATAAGATATTGTCATTAGGAAAAACAGGCCCAAACCAACTTGGCTCATGACAATAAATGTTAGCCAAAGCTTTTCTACAACTTTCGTACTGATTTGATTTGTCAGCATTAAAATCCTTGTTATTATATTCCATTTGAGATTTAAAATTTGATAAACTCTGTATTAAATTTGAAATTTTATTGTCTTTATCCCAACTAAATCGAACTTCTACGCTTTCTTTTATCTTTACTTCACTTACTGGTTTTAGTGCAGCCATCTTTAATTTTATATTAATAATGGAAATTGTCATGGCTGAAAATCCTGCCTCGGTTTTATAAAACGGGCTAGGATATTGATCCCGAGGGAATTTCATCCCGCTCATCATATAATACTAAATTTGAATTTGTAAGAAAACAAAGTGTTAGGCGGGGGGAAATTTCAGCCCGGATAAGCGGGCTGAAACCTAGCCCGGGCTGATTTTTACTCATGTAATGAGCCCCTAACTCAATGCATAGAACCAACTCGTTTTTTTTCAACTTTTTTTCACGAGTTAGTTCTATGCAATGCATAGAACCAACTCGTGAAAAAAAGCCGATAATTGTATAAAATTCGATTGATTCTTGGTGACATACCGAATAACTGTATTTAGGGTGGAATGCAAGAAGCAAACTTGAGTCAAGTTCGACTTAAACTTTATTTTGTAACCAATAGTTGCAGAGTATTTTTTGAGGGGAAAACCCATACTCTGTCGCTATTGGTTATAATTTAATGTTCAAGTCGAGCTTGGCTCAGGTTCGCTTCTTGTATTCCACCCTTAATTATCGAACACTGAATTCGTAAATTGCAATATAAACAACCGAAGCGTCTGTTAATACCAGGGTGGGTGTGGTCTCGTAAAATAAAAGTAACGACTCCGATTCCAGTAGTTTAAGTTTTCAGAGTACAACTCCAAAGCAAAATTTTTGAAAAACTCGGAATTCTGTACAAAATATTACGCGATAAGATAAAATTTTCTTTTTTTAGCAAATTTATGAAACGTTCTTTGAGGTTTAGTATGAACGTAAGGTTAATTCATAGTCATACAAAAAACATAGTCTGGCCAGTTTAAGAGCGCTAATGATTATCTTATTGTTAGCTTTATTTAGAACTCAGCCTACCAATGAGTGCACACTGTAAACAAATGCACATTAATTTACAAAAAGATTATTTATACTTGATATTTGCATATGCCTCGTCTTAATTGTTGCATATTTGGTTTTGGAACTTCTTGAAGAAGTATAAAAGTTTTTCTATTTGAAATATTTTCTTCCGATGATATCAGATAACTTTTTTGTTGGATCGATAAGTTTATTACCTTCAATAAATCAACCAGTTAAGAGCTTTTCATTGGCAAATTCTTCTCTAGGTAGAATATAGTAGCTTTTCATATTACTAAAGCTCAACTCAAAGAAATTAACTTTTTTTTCTGAAGCAGATGAAAGTCAATATTTAAATATTTTCATTAAAAAAGATCAATGTTTAATACAGTTATGTCTAATTAAACCTTATTTCATTTTTAAAAAAATATCAAAGCTATTTGACATGTGGCTATTTTAATAGCAACAAATCTTATAAAAACATTATTTGGTATAAAATAAAAAGATAAATTATATATATATATATATATATATATATATATATATATATATATATATATATATATATATATATATATATATTCTTAATAATATTTCTAAATTTATAAGTAATAAGTTTTAATAATATTTCTAAATTTTATAAATAAAATCCCGAAAAAATTATTAAACTACTTAAGTAGTTAAACCTTTATTCATTACATTATATGATATTATTTAAAATAAAAAAATTTGATATGATATTATTATTTAAAATAAAAAAATTTGAAATGATATTATTATTTAAAATAAAAAAAAACAACTTTATCTGATTTTCACTTTATTATAGCATCTTTCAATCATACTGCAATACAGTTCAAATGCTAATATATGTTTTTAACAAATTTTTTGGTTATCAAAATAACCTTTATTAAATGTCTAATATTTATGGATGGAGTTTAAAAACCCTTTCTAGTTTATAGCTCCTTTGAATACAATATTGAGTAAAATCAAAAATAAAGTGATAAAAGATGGCCTAGAAAATTGATAGCCTCTTCTTTAAACATCTCGGTCAAATTAAAATAACAATTTTTTGAAAAATAAGATAAACCTCGGTATCTTAAAGCAATTCTGCCATCAATTGGCAGCTTATTTTTACATAAACTTTTTGGTTAACTTTCTAAATGCTAACCTTTCTAGTAGTAAAAAAAGCATCAGATAATACAGACCAAAGGTCATCTAAATTTTTTAAATTACTAAATTTTTTATCAGTATTATAATTTCACTCTTAAAAAAAATCTTGATTGATTCGTCAACTTTTTCTGCCAACAATTAAGTCAACTTTGCCAACTTTCTGACTAACGTATTCTTCGATAAAAAGCACTAAATACGTATGAACCAAAATGTCGAACTAAATTTTTTTCTTTTTCTGTTTTCTAAATATGATTAGTAAGGTTATATCCTACAAGAGGTAAGGATCTGTAAAAAAAATCCTTTCTGATCAGCAACTATAAATTTTGGATAAAAAAACTTCACTATAAATAATTTTTATATCTTCTTTTTATTAACTTGAATGATAGATTTGTATCATCTTTTAAAAATATGCACTTTGAAAGCTAATCTCTGATATATGGAAGTTAATCGTTGATAACAATAAGAATGTTTTTTAAAACAAAATTGATGAACTTCTTTGTAGAACACGTTGTACCAAAGATTGTTTGTAACAATAAAAATGTTTTTTTAAACAAAATTCGTGAACTTATTTTTTTTTTTGCTTCATGATTTTTTACAACTTTATAAACTATTGTTACAATTCCTTCTCTTGACATAATATATAGTCATAGAGAAAACAAAAATAAATGTATACATATATAAATCGTTAAAAATATATTGTCAAACACACTGTGTTAAATGCAAAGTATATGTTTATATATATTTTATGATAACAAATTTGATAAAATAATTTAGAGAAATAATTGTGATGTTGTAAGGAAACTCGCAGAAGACTTAAAGAAGTCTTGTCATCGATGACCTTTGAGACATAAAATAAGTAAAAAATTAAAAAGCAAACTTGTTAAGTGACATTACTAGAGTAATAGACATAAAAATATTGAGATATTAAAATTAGTAGGTGTTGTATGAGAATTTTGGATTTTGTTATTTTTTCTTTTTCACTTTCTTGTCAAATATGTTTAAAACGTATCTATAAAATTATTTGTAAAACTCGTTTGCCAAATATCAGTTTATCTATTTATTTGCCGTGTTAAAGAGAAACTAATTGAATGCTGCTTTGCTATGTATCGCTTGAATTTATGCTCTGACATTTTATCATACACTGGTGAAAGTAAATTTGGTTGAAGCGTTTTTACTCCCAATTTCATCGAGAAAAGATAATATGATAATATGAAATAATCAAAGCACTGTTTATCTGTTGAGTTCGCCATTTTTTAGATTTTTGTGCACTTATTGGTAGTCTGGATACGACAATGAAAAGATTTTTAACATAAATTCAAAATTTTAACTTTTATTGTTTAAAAACAATTGAATCTTGCGAAAACAGCCCAATTGGCCAGACTATCTGTTATTGTGACAATGATTTATTAAATGTTTTGTACATGATAATTAAGAGATTACTGATTTTTTTTACATCATTTTAATGAGTTTCTTACAAAAGTGGATGGGAAAAAAGTACTGTTTTTTTGGATGATTAATTTTTGAAGCAATTTAATTAGCAATAGAGATGAATATTGAAGTATAATGCATTCTACCTTATAGTACACATCGCCTTCAATAACTTGACACACATGTTAATAAAGTAATTAAACATACGTGGTCTATGCCTCGTTGAAACTTTCACATTATTTTTAACAAAATATTGCAACTTTCACGTTATTGTTAACAAAATATGGCCCAACATACTAACAAAAAGAGGATTGATTGTTAATGCGTTTTACCATTGTGGTTTGCATTCCCTAAGAAATACAGTAAAAAACTTCAAATACAAAAAAAAAACAGATAACTAATAAAAAAAAAATTTATCTGCGAGACCCAAATTTATCTGTTTTAAAGACTATTGTATCGTCTCCGGAAAAAAAGAACACTTACTCACTCAAAACGCCATATTGCTCTTACAGATAATGTTAAGTTTGTAAAAGAGCCTCCTATTAAAAAGACTCGAATAAAAAATGTGGTCAGTGTTAAACAGAAGTCAAAATAAAAAAAAATAAATCAGTCAAAACAAAAATAAAGAAGACTTATTTTTAGCTGATTCTGATCACCCCAGTTCATCTAGTTGTTTTATTCTAAAAAATAACACTGATAAAGACTTTTGTTGTGTTTGTATAATTTGGGGAGAAGCAAACAAAGATTGGCTAAAATGTTTGACTTGACATGTGAAGGATGTTTTGAAGTTGATACATATGGAAAATGTGTGCAAAGGACATATTTCTTGTAAGTTTTTAAATAGCCATAGTGATACAATTTTTGTTATTGCTTTAACGTGTTACTTTGTGCGCTAGCGCAATTAGACGGTTTTCATTTATGCCAAAATCATTATTTGATATTTTCTAGAAAAAGTTTAACAAATGACATCCTTTTAGATGTTTTAGAAATCAGGAAACTGACTTTCAATAATTCTATCTTGTCGTTATCTGAGGGTAATTCCATCTGTAGCTATCTGTAGGCTATCATTAGTTCTATCTACATCACTTTTAGGTTTACTGTTCTAGATTAAAGAAATCATCCTTCTATTACTCCAAAAATAATGCTTTATATCAAAGTTCTTTTTTCTCCTTGGTAAGCTGTCTTTACCACTAGTAAGGAATTTTGTCTGTCGCCAACGTGACGTATTTTTCAATTAGTTTAGTTACGAATTCGCCCCATAATTGACGAATTCGCTCTTCATGACTAGATGATGAAAAAATCAAGTTTTACGCTAAAGTAACTTTAGAATTTATTTTTATTCAATACATTAACAAAGTAGAGACCATAATTAATAAAAAAATGCTTTTAAACTAGAAAAGTTTACTTATATATATGCTATCTCATTTTGTTAAAGTAAAATATGACGAACTCGCCCCGCCTTACCCTACCATGCCTTAGTTGCATTGAGTATATGTTTGCCTAAATGTTGAAAATCTGCAGGCGAATGAATGGATATCCTTTT